TATACGAAACTTCAATTTGTAATGGATATTTGATTTACAAAATTGTTGACTTGATTTGTGACGAACTTTGGGTTGTTTGGTGTTAGCTGCTTTGTTTTGTTCTAGTTTCTACTCTTGGCTTCGCCAGTATTCTATTTGGCTCTTGTTTTGCGTTTGAAAATAGATCTTTGAGTTTGCACCTATTTTGGACTATTGGGCTTCCGGCTATTTGATTTGGGTATTATTTTGTTAATTTGGGCTTTGGGCCTTGCACCTATTTTGGCTGCTTGATTTGAGCTTTGATCCCTTGGTTAACATTACGACCATAGTTATCAAAATCATAAAATTCGCAATTTGATTCGTATGATTCGGTTCGATACAGGTACAAAACAATTCTTATCTTATATGAGAATCGTTTTAGAATTGAATCGCACCTGAATCATACGATTCGATTCGTATCGCACGAATTGCACAATTCAATCATTTTTTTTTAAATCCAAATTTTTAGCAAAATGACGTCGTTTTGTCCGTTAAACAATAAAACGACGTCGTTTTATTTGCAGAGGAACTCACGCCCTAATAAAAACTCTACCTCTTTACTCGTTCTCTCTTTGACGTCGTCTAAAACTTGTCATGCGTTGTCTAAATCTAAAGGTCACGACTAACGCTCATGCATCATCGGTTGATTTTTTATCTCAATTCTTTCATGAGTAGTTTGTTCGGTTCTAATTTTTTTATTTCAAAATGTTGGCTAATATATTTTCTCCCAATCAATTTTCTTATTTGTTCTTTTTTCATTCATGTTTCTAACATAATCTATCCTGGGTGTCACTATTTTAGTTCTTGAATAGTTATGGTTTTTTAAAAAAAAAAAAAATTTCAAGTTGTTGTATTTGAAAATAGTTGAGCAAAGGATAAAAATTAAGCAAAAGCCTGGTATCTTTTCATTTAGATGACGTAATTATGTCAATTAATTATTTTTAGAATGCAATAAATTCAATATTCAATATTTTGTCTATTTTAAATATATAATATTATTTTTTATTTTTGTTCAAATTTTGTGTCGAATCTTATGATTCATGATTCGATACGATTCACGATTCTCAAATTTAGAATTTTGATTCATGATACGAATTGCGATTTGACAACTATGATTATGACAAGTGAAAATTTTGATTCTCTTCAGAATATTAGTAAGAGTCACCGAAAGGCACAATGTCCAAAATTGATAAACAAAAATGCTAAGGGAGTATTAAATTAGTCATTTAAGCCCAAAGATTATCATACAACAACAACTGCATCACCGGTGGATGAGTCACTCCCATCAACTCCCAGCATGACTATGATAGTTGATCTATTGCAGAAGTTTCTCTCCCTTCATCAACCAGGTGCCTTATCAGTTTCTCCCTCAGCTATTTCTTTCATTTCAGGTCCTTCAGGTATATCTGAGATTGCCTGGATTTTTGACTCAAGAAACATTCATCACATGACTAGTTATTCTTTCTTATTTACTTCTATTGGTTCCCCTCCCTCTATATCTATTCTTGCAGTCAATGGCACCCAAATGACTTTGGTCAGTGTTGGAACAATTGTATCCTCCCAACTTACACTTCTTGATGTTTACTATATTCCTTAACTTACTTTAAATTTAATCTCAATTAGTCAGTTGTTTAATTCGGGCCTTTTAGTTCATTTTTTCTTTATTGGTTGTATTATGTAAGAAGAAACTGCTTGGGACAAGCCATAGTAATGGAGGGTTGTGTGTGTTGGATGAGCTTCATGTTCTCAAAGTTGCTGCATCTATTGCTGATTTATCTTCTTTTCAATTGAGTCAACAATCATCTAGTTTTTATTTATGGCATTCTCACTTGGATCATGTTTCTCATTCTCATTTGAAATTTTTAGTTTCTACTGATAGTTTGGGTAGTTTAGAGTGTCATGAAATTTCAAATTGTAGTGGATACAAGTTGGCTAAATTTACTGCATTACCTTTCAATAAAAGTAATTCTAGTTCTTCTGCACCTTTTGATTTAATACATTCTGATATTTGGAGACCCGCTCTTATTGTTACTAAAGGGGATCTAGATATTATGTTTCTTTTATTGATGATCACACTAGATATTGTTGGGTCTATCTGATGAAATAAAGGTCTGAATTTTTTTTTGTCTTCATTATTTTTCGTGCTATGGTACGTGTCCAATATTTTTCTATTATTAAATGTTTTCGATGTGACCAAGGTGAAAAATATTCCTTTAGTAGTTTTCGTGATTTATTGAAATCTGATGGTGCTATTTATCAATCTTCTTGTCCTGACACACTTGAGCAAAATAGAATAGCTGAGAGGAAACATTGTCACATTATTGAGATTGCTCGCTCTCTATTATTGTCGGCTAGTGTTCCTGGCTCTTTTTTGGGGTAAAGCAGTCCTTACAATAGTTCACCTGATAAATTGGATTCCCACAATTCTCAATTCTAGTGTCTCATCATTTGAAAAATTATGTAATAAGACAACTAATTATTTCTCCTTCCGTGTGTTTAGATGTACCCGTTTTATTTTACTATCTAGTACTAATCGTACCAAACTCTCTGCTTGCTCAGCCTTGTATGTTTTTCTTGGATACGGTAAGAGACAAAAGGAATATCGTTGTTAAGAATATTATAGTACTATACAAGGATCAAAATATCGTTTTGACACGATCGAAACGTCCGAAATGTTTCCGTTTCCAAGGAGACCGAAACGAAACAGTGATGGAATCAAAATTCTGATATTTCGAGGTATTCCATAATGTTTTTAAATGTATTATAATATTTCAATATATTTACACAATTATTTTAAAATGTTTCAAAGTATTTCAAGATACTTTGATATGTTTTCATCAATATTTTAAAAAAATAATTATTAAATTATTTATTTTTTTCATTATGTTTTCGAAATGAGTCAAAACGTTTCTAAAACACGTCGAAACATTTCCGTTTCCTAAATAATCGAAACAATATACCGAAACGATATTTTGATCCTTAGTACTATGTGTAAATTGTTAATAATAAGTTGTATGTATAATTCTTATTATTGTAAATTAACTATAAATACAAGTGATGTATAAGAGCTAGGTTAAGTTTTTAACCTCTCTATATTTCTCTCTAATATTATGTTAATTTTTCTACACTTAATATGGTATCAGAGCATAGTTACAATCCTAAATATATTTTTTGAATATATTTGTGGTCTATTTGTGGTAGTGTTACTATTTTTCGTCGAAGCAACAGTGGTGATGGTATTGGTGTTACTATTGTTCGTCGAAGCTACAGTGGTGGTGGAATAATTGTTGTGGTATAGTTGTTTTTGGTTGATTTGTGTTGCTATGATGGTGTTGTCGCTAGTTGTTGTCGTTGTTGATCATCGTTTGTCGTCGTTTGTGTTCGTTGTGGTAGTGTAGTGTTGATTCTTTCGTCGTGGTGGTTTGTTGTTCATTGTGGTGGTGGTTGCGCAGTCAAAGACTAGGGTTACTGGAACCCTAATCAACAAAGAAGAAAAAGCCTAGACTCGAAAAAGGTCCAGACCTGACTTCCAAGTTTGGATAAAAGACAACAGATTTAAATTATTTTAAGTCCAATCCACTTCGGTCCAACCCAGTTCCATCAACGGGTTTAAATTATGTTAAGCCCAACCCAATCCGGTTCAGATTGTTTCCGACCAGTTCAGACTGTTTTTTACTCAGGTTCAACAATCCAACAAGCCTAGTCCATCCGGTTCAGGCTTCCAACAACCACAGCCAGGCCGATTCAGTGGTCCAGAGGGCTAAATCAATCCGGTTCAGCGGTTCTCTAGGCCGGTTTAGACCTCTAACAGCCTCTTTTCCTTTGGTTCAACATTGCAGCACTTTTTTATTTCCTATTTACTGCACTCTTATGGAACCCAGGCAAGATACCAGGGCTCTGACTACATCTTTGCCACCTACCTCTACTCCTCTAACTCTTATCAATGGTCCCATGACCTCGGTTAAACTCAATGGCACCAATTATACTTTATGGTTCCGATCCGTTTATGTCTTTCTTCAAGGCAAAGGATTAAAGAAATATTTGGTGAATCTTAAACCCAAGGAAAATATTCCNAAACGATATTTTGATCCTTAGTACTATGTGTAAATTGTTAATAATAAGTTGTATGTATAATTCTTATTATTGTAAATTAACTATAAATACAAGTGATGTATAAGAGCTAGGTTAAGTTTTTAACCTCTCTATATTTCTCTCTAATATTATGTTAATTTTTCTACACTTAATATGGTATCAGAGCATAGTTACAATCCTAAATATATTTTTTGAATATATTTGTGGTCTATTTGTGGTAGTGTTACTATTTTTCGTCGAAGCAACAGTGGTGATGGTATTGGTGTTACTATTGTTCGTCGAAGCTACAGTGGTGGTGGAATAATTGTTGTGGTATAGTTGTTTTTGGTTGATTTGTGTTGCTATGATGGTGTTGTCGCTAGTTGTTGTCGTTGTTGATCATCGTTTGTCGTCGTTTGTGTTCGTTGTGGTAGTGTAGTGTTGATTCTTTCGTCGTGGTGGTTTGTTGTTCATTGTGGTGGTGGTTGCGCAGTCAAAGGCTAGGGTTACTGGAACCCTAATCAACAAAGAAGAAAAAGCCTAGACTCGAAAAAGGTCCAGACCTGACTTCCAAGTTTGGATAAAAGACAACAGATTTAAATTATTTTAAGTCCAGTCCACTTTGGTCCAACCCAGTTCCATCAACGGGTTTAAATTATGTTAAGCCCAACCCAATCCGGTTCAGATTGTTTCCGACCAGTTCAGACTGTTTTTTACTCAGGTTCAACAATCCAACAAGCCTAGTCCATCCGGTTCAGGCTTCCAGCAACCAAAGCCAGGCCGATTCAGTGGTCCAGAGGGCTAAATCAATCCGGTTCAGCGGTTCTCTAGGCCGGTTTAGACCTCTAACAGCCTCTTTTCCTTTGGTTCAACATTGCAGCACTTTTTTATTTCCTATTTACTGCACTCTTATGGAACCCAGGCAAGATACCAGGGCTCTGACTACATCTTTGCCACCTACCTCTACTCCTCTAACTCTTATCAATGGTCCCATGACCTCGGTTAAACTCAATGGCACCAATTATACTTTATGGTTCCGATCCGTTTATGTCTTTCTTCAAGGCAAAGGATTAAAGAAAAATTTGGTGAATCTTAAACCCAAGGAAAATATTCCTAGGTATGATCAGTGAGAACTAGAGCATGCTCAAATTATTTCTTTACTACTGTATAGCATTGAGCTTACTATTAGTACTACTCTGCTCTACCTTGACACGGTCAAGGACATATAGGATCACTTGGCTACTTTGTATTTTAGTACAAGTAATTTTACTTGAGCTTATGAGGTATACAAGGAATACTTCTGACTGGAACAGAGTACTCTAAGCATTGAGGATTATTACTCATATTCAAGGAGTCTGTAAGGAGATGAAGACCTACCATTCGTTTACTACTGATGCAACAGTTTGACAGAAGCAACATGAGGACATGAATGTTGTTAGGTTTTTGGTAGGCTTGAAATTTGAATATAAGGCTATTCCTTCTCAGATTTTGGGTGGTTCTAGTCTTTCCTCATTACTCGTATACAATGTGCTACTTTGTCTACTTCAGGTATCAATCATGGTGTTTCCACTGATCGCTCAGCTCTTGAGGTCCCCAGTAACCATAATGATGGTCATCGAGGTGGTCGTGGTGGTCGAGGAGGTCGTACTGGTGATTGTGGGAGCCGCAATGGACCTCGTTCCTGTACTCACTTTGGCCATGGAGAGCACACTATTAATTTTTGTTGGGATTTACATGAAAAATCTTCTGGTGCTGCGAATCAAGCTTCCTATCAAGATGACAACTCTGTTGTTGCTTCCGTACCTCGGTCAGCTCTACCAGACACTGAGTCAGTTACTATTACACGAAAGAAGTATGCTCAGTTTCTATCCCAATAGCAAGTTGTCCCATCTCCCTCCACTATTACTTTTGCTCAGTCAGGTACTACTTCCACTTGTTTATTGTCCTTCCCTCGTAGTCCCTGGATCATAGACTCTGGCATTTCTAACCACATGATCGCTGTGTCGGATATTTTTTCTACTTATCAGTCTGCTACTTCTACATGTAGTGTTACTCTTGCTAATGGTACTTGTTCTAAAGTTTCAAGTCTAAGGACTACTCACTTGAGTCCTGATATGTCCCTATCTTCTGTGTTATTTGTTACTCAATTTCNTTTAAAATGTTTCAAAGTATTTCAAGATACTTTGATATGTTTTCATCAATATTTTAAAAAAATAATTATTAAATTATTTATTTTTTTCATTATGTTTTCGAAATGAGTCAAAACGTTTCTAAAACACGTCGAAACATTTCCGTTTCCTAAATAATCGAAACAATATACCGAAACGATATTTTGATCCTTAGTACTATGTGTAAATTGTTAATAATAAGTTGTATGTATAATTCTTATTATTGTAAATTAACTATAAATACAAGTGATGTATAAGAGCTAGGTTAAGTTTTTAACCTCTCTATATTTCTCTCTAATATTATGTTAATTTTTCTACACTTAATATGGTATCAGAGCATAGTTACAATCCTAAATATATTTTTTGAATATATTTGTGGTCTATTTGTGGTAGTGTTACTATTTTTCGTCGAAGCAACAGTGGTGATGGTATTGGTGTTACTATTGTTCGTCGAAGCTACAGTGGTGGTGGAATAATTGTTGTGGTATAGTTGTTTTTGGTTGATTTGTGTTGCTATGATGGTGTTGTCGCTAGTTGTTGTCGTTGTTGATCATCGTTTGTCGTCGTTTGTGTTCGTTGTGGTAGTGTAGTGTTGATTCTTTCGTCGTGGTGGTTTGTTGTTCATTGTGGTGGTGGTTGCNCATTCCCAAAATTCTCAATTCTAGTGTCTCATCATTTGAAAAATTATGTAATAAGACACCTAATTATTTCTCCTTCCGTGTGTTTAGATGTACCCGTTTTATTTTACTATCTAGTACTAATCGTACCAAACTCTCTGCTTGCTCAGCCTTGTATGTTTTTCTTGGATACGGTAAGAGACAAAAGGAATATCGTTGTTAAGAATATTATAGTACTATACAAGGATCAAAATATCGTTTTGACACGATCGAAACGTCCGAAATGTTTCCGTTTCCAATGAGACCGAAACGAAACAGTGATGGAATCAAAATTCTGATATTTCGAGGTATTCCATAATGTTTTTAAATGTATTATAATATTTCAATATATTTACACAATTATTTTAAAATGTTTCAAAGTATTTCAAGATACTTTGATATGTTTTCATCAATATTTTAAAAAAATAATTATTAAATTATTTATTTTTTTCATTATGTTTTCGAAATGAGTCAAAACGTTTCTAAAACACGTCGAAACATTTCCGTTTCCTAAATAATCGAAACAATATACCGAAACGATATTTTGATCCTTAGTACTATGTGTAAATTGTTAATAATAAGTTGTATGTATAATTCTTATTATTGTAAATTAACTATAAATACAAGTGATGTATAAGAGCTAGGTTAAGTTTTTAACCTCTCTATATTTCTCTCTAATATTATGTTAATTTTTCTACACTTAATATGGTATCAGAGCATAGTTACAATCCTAAATATATTTTTTGAATATATTTGTGGTCTATTTGTGGTAGTGTTACTATTTTTCGTCGAAGCAACAGTGGTGATGGTATTGGTGTTACTATTGTTCGTCGAAGCTACAGTGGTGGTGGAATAATTGTTGTGGTATAGTTGTTTTTGGTTGATTTGTGTTGCTATGATGGTGTTGTCGCTAGTTGTTGTCGTTGTTGATCATCGTTTGTCGTCGTTTGTGTTCGTTGTGGTAGTGTAGTGTTGATTCTTTCGTCGTGGTGGTTTGTTGTTCATTGTGGTGGTGGTTGCGCAGTCAAAGACTAGGGTTACTGGAACCCTAATCAACAAAGAAGAAAAAGCCTAGACTCGAAAAAGGTCCAGACCTGACTTCCAAGTTTGGATAAAAGACAACAGATTTAAATTATTTTAAGTCCAATCCACTTCGGTCCAACCCAGTTCCATCAACGGGTTTAAATTATGTTAAGCCCAACCCAATCCGGTTCAGATTGTTTCCGACCAGTTCAGACTGTTTTTTACTCAGGTTCAACAATCCAACAAGCCTAGTCCATCCGGTTCAGGCTTCCAACAACCACAGCCAGGCCGATTCAGTGGTCCAGAGGGCTAAATCAATCCGGTTCAGCGGTTCTCTAGGCCGGTTTAGACCTCTAACAGCCTCTTTTCCTTTGGTTCAACATTGCAGCACTTTTTTATTTCCTATTTACTGCACTCTTATGGAACCCAGGCAAGATACCAGGGCTCTGACTACATCTTTGCCACCTACCTCTACTCCTCTAACTCTTATCAATGGTCCCATGACCTCGGTTAAACTCAATGGCACCAATTATACTTTATGGTTCCGATCCGTTTATGTCTTTCTTCAAGGCAAAGGATTAAAGAAATATTTGGTGAATCTTAAACCCAAGGAAAATATTCCTAGGTATGATCAGTGAGAACTAGAGCATGCTCAAATTATTTCTTTACTACTGTATAGCATTGAGCTTACTATTAGTACTACTCTGCTCTACCTTGACACGGTCAAGGACATATAGGATCACTTGGCTACTTTGTATTTTAGTACAAGTAATTTTACTTGAGCTTATGAGGTATACAAGGAATACTTCTGACTGGAACAGAGTACTCTAAGCATTGAGGATTATTACTCATATTCAAGGAGTCTGTAAGGAGATGAAGACCTACCATTCGTTTACTACTGATGCAGCAGTTTGACAGAAGCAACATGAGGACATGAATGTTGTTAGGTTTTTGGTAGGCTTGAAATTTGAATATAAGGCTATTCCTTCTCAGATTTTGGGTGGTTCTAGTCTTTCCTCATTACTCGTATACAATGTGCTACTTTGTCTACTTCAGGTATCAATCATGGTGTTTCCACTGATCGCTCAGCTCTTGAGGTCCCCAGTAACNATTAAAATGTTTCAAAGTATTTCAAGATACTTTGATATATTTTCATCAATATTTTAAAAAAATAATTATTAAATTATTTATTTTTTTCATTATGTTTTCGAAATGAGTCAAAACATTTCTAAAACACGTCGAAACATTTCCGTTTCCTAAATAATCGAAACAATATACCGAAACGATATTTTGATCCTTAGTACTATGTGTAAATTGTTAATAATAAGTTGTATGTATAATTCTTATTATTGTAAATTAACTATAAATACAAGTGATGTATAAGAGCTAGGTTAAGTTTTTAACCTCTCTATATTTCTCTCTAATATTATGTTAATTTTTCTACACTTAATATGGTATCAGAGCATAGTTACAATCCTAAATATATTTTTTGAATATATTTGTGGTCTATTTGTGGTAGTGTTACTATTTTTCGTCGAAGCAACAGTGGTGATGGTATTGGTGTTACTATTGTTCGTCGAAGCTACAGTGGTGGTGGTATAATTGTTGTGGTATAGTTGTTTTTGGTTGATTTGTGTTGCTATGATGGTGTTGTCGCTAGTTGTTGTCGTTGTTGATCATCGTTTGCCGTCGTTTGTGTTCGTTGTGGTAGTGTAGTGTTGATTCTTTCGTCGTGGTGGTTTGTTGTTCATTGTGGTGGTGGTTGCGCAGTCAAAGGCTAGGGTTACTGGAACCCTAATCAACAAAGAAGAAAAAGCCTAGACTCGAAAAAGGTCCAGACCTGACTTCCAAGTTTGGATAAAAGACAACAGATTTAAATTATTTTAAGTCCAATCCACTTCGGTCCAACCCAGTTCCATCAACGGGTTTAAATTATGTTAAGCCCAACCCAATCCGGTTCAGATTGTTTCCGACCAGTTCAGACTGTTTTTTACTCAGGTTCAACAATCCAACAAGCCTAGTCCATCCGGTTCAGGCTTCCAACAACCACAGCCAGGCCGATTCAGTGGTCCAGAGGGCTAAATCAATCCGGTTCAGCGGTTCTCTAGGCCGGTTTAGACCTCTAACAGCCTCTTTTCCTTTGGTTCAACATTGCAGCACTTTTTTATTTCCTATTTACTGCACTCTTATGGAACCCAGGCAAGATACCAGGGCTCTGACTACATCTTTGCCACCTACCTCTACTCCTCTAACTCTTATCAATGGTCCCATGACCTCGGTTAAACTCAATGGCACCAATTATACTTTATGGTTCCGATCCGTTTATGTCTTTCTTCAAGGCAAAGGATTAAAGAAATATTTGGTGAATCTTAAACCCAAGGAAAATATTCCTAGGTATGATCAGTGAGAACTAGAGCATGCTCAAATTATTTCTTTACTACTGTATAGCATTGAGCTTACTATTAGTACTACTCTGCTCTACCTTGACACGGTCAAGGACATATAGGATCACTTGGCTACTTTGTATTTTAGTACAAGTAATTTTACTTGAGCTTATGAGGTATACAAGGAATACTTCTGACTGGAACAGAGTACTCTAAGCATTGAGGATTATTACTCATATTCAAGGAGTCTGTAAGGAGATGAAGACCTACCATTCGTTTACTACTGATGCAACAGTTTGACAGAAGCAACATGAGGACATGAATGTTGTTAGGTTTTTGGTAGGCTTGAAATTTGAATATAAGGCTATTCCTTCTCAGATTTTGGGTGGTTCTAGTCTTTCCTCATTACTCGTATACAATGTGCTACTTTGTCTACTTCAGGTATCAATCATGGTGTTTCCACTGATCGCTCAGCTCTTGAGGTCCCCAGTAACCATAATGATGGTCATCGAGGTGGTCGTGGTGGTCGAGGAGGTCGTACTGGTGATTGTGGGAGCCGCAATGGACCTCGTTCCTGTACTCACTTTGGCCATGGAGAGCACACTATTAATTTTTGTTGGGATTTACATGAAAAATCTTCTGGTGCTGCGAATCAAGCTTCCTATCAAGATGACAACTCTGTTGTTGCTTCCGTACCTCGGTCAGCTCTACCAGACACTGAGTCAGTTACTATTACACGAAAGAAGTATGCTCAGTTTCTATCCCAATAGCAAGTTGTCCCATCTCCCTCCACTATTACTTTTGCTCAGTCAGGTACTACTTCCACTTGTTTATTGTCCTTCTCTCGTAGTCCCTAGATCATAGACTCTGGCATTTCTAACCACATGATCGCTGCGTCGGATATTTTTTCTACTTATCAGTCTGCTACTTCTACATGTAGTGTTACTCTTGCTAATGGTACTTGTTCTAAAGTTTCAAGTCTAAGGACTACTCACTTGAGTCCTGATATGTCCCTATCTTCTGTGTTATTTGTTACTCAATTTCCTCTTAGTTTACTTTCCATTAACAAAATTACCAATTCTCTCAATTATTCTGTAACTTTTTATCCCTCTTATTGTGTCTTTCAGAATCTCAAGATGAATAAGAAGATTGATACGGGGCATGAAGCTGGTAGTCTATATTACCTTGACTTTGATTCACCTACCCAGACTCTACAAATCTCGTTGTCTCATTTTCAATGGCATTGTCGTCTTAAACATCTCTTTCTCCAGAATCTAAAGTGTCAAGTTCCCAATCTTAGCTATGTGTCGTCTTTATTTTATGAAACTTGTCAACTTAGTAAGCATCACCATGTGTCATTTCAGTCTAGAGTCAATAATCGTGTGTCTAGTCTATTTGAGTTAGTACATTCTGATGTATGGGGTCCAATAAAGAATATTTCATCTAATAACTATCCTTATTTTGTGACATTTATGGATGACTATTCTAGTGTGACTTGGTTATTTTTTATGAAAGTTCGATATGAATTATTCTCTATATTTAAGACCTTTCGTAAGGAAATAAAAACTCGGTATAGTTGTCGTATACGTACTTTACGTTCCAATAATGCTCGAGAATATGAATCTGATCCTTTTTTAACTTATCTTATTAAAATTAACATTATTCATCAAACTTTTTGTGCTTACACCTCTCCATAGAATGGTATTGCTGAACGCAAGAACCGTCATTTGTTAGAAGTCACCCATGACCTGTAATTCCAGATGAATATTCCCCGATATTTTTAGAATAATACTATTCTTACTGCTTGTCACCTTATCAATCGTATACCATCCTCTGTGTTAAATGGGCAAAGTCTATATTCTGTCCTTTTTCCTGGTAAGCCCTTATTTTTTCTAACTCCTAAGGTTTTTAAATGTATCAGTTATGTTCACAATTTGGATCCTGTGTTTGATAAACTTGACCATCGAGCTACCAAATGTATATTTCTTGGTTACTTCCGCACGCAGAAGGGGTATCGTTGCTACCAAGAATCGAAATTTCGTTTCGAAGTACCGTTTCGGTCAGCTCAAAAATAAAAATGTTTCGGAAATGCAATAGAAACGCAGAAAAAATATGGAAACGCATAGAAACACAAATATAATCCATTAATTTATAAAGATATGTTAAATAATTGATTAATTCAACATATTTATTGGGTTAAACATCCATTTATACAACAATAAATTTAAATTTGAGGGAAAAAAAAGGCTTGACATGAGGCGAAAGTCACTTATATTAGTTTCAAACACTTAATTTTTATGAAATAAATATATTTTTACATAATATTAAGGTCTTATAGTACACATGAAATGCTAATTAGTACATACTTACATGACTACATCCATCCCCCTATGGAGTGTAGAGCAGGCTCATACATCGGTGTAGGCTCTGGGTAGCTACTTAGAGAAACTCCATATGTGACATAAATATGATGACAATAGTTACTCCAAATCATATTATTACGGTAATATAATCCAATTAATAATACTATTTTATTATAATACTAATAATGAAGGGTATCAAATTAAATTAATGATACTTATGTATACTTAAAAATTAAATGTAATTGCAGTGGGTATTAAATGTAATTACAGTAGGTATTAAATATAATTACATTAGGGTATTAAATGTAATTGTTAATACTTATAACAAAAAAAAAANTATAGTACACATGAAATGCTAATTAGTACATACTCACATGACTACATCCATCCCCCTATGGAGTGTAAAGCAGGCTCATACATCGGTGTAGGCTCTAGGTAGCTACTTAGAGAAACTCCATATGNGCAAAAAACTTGCACAGCAGTGAGGTATTAAATATAATTACAGTATGTATTAAATGTAATTATAATGGGTATTAAATATAATTATATTAGGGTATTAAGTGTAATTATTTATTCTTATAACAAAAAAATTATAAAAGACAGAAGAGCAGTGGGAATTAAATGTAATTATAGTGGGATATTAAATATAATTATAGTGAGTATTAAATGTAATTATAGTGGGTATTAAATGTAATTATAATGGGGTATTAAATATAATTATTCATAATAAACCGAATATATCACTGTTTTGTCGAAACGGTACTGTTTCGATCGAAACGGTTCGAAACAATGCCGTTTCGACCGAAACGGCATGAAACAGTACCGTTTCGACCGAAACACTGGAATTTTGTGATTCAACTACTGTTTCGTTTCGGAGTGTTGAAATTCCGAAACGTTTCGGACGTTTCGGATGTGTCGACACGACATTTTGATCCTTGGTTCTAGTGGATACTTTTTATGTAGACCGTTAGATAATGATCTAACAATCACTAGACAAAGACGCTCAAAATTAATTATCAAAGCCTATCAAATTTAGTTCTTTACTAAATAGGAAATGTCTATGACATATTGATTGTGATCTAGTCCTATTAAAAAAGTCTTATAGTTAATATAAAAAAAAATACTGACTACTCTTAAATATTAATGGATCGACCCAATAACCCCGATGATTTTTATCTTTGCCCATCCAATTTATTATACCTGTTTGGGTTAACAAAAAGCTAAAAATACCACAGTCAAACCCATCTTCTCTCATGTTTCCCTTCAATTGCTTCATTGTTACTGCAAGTAGATAAGGTTTTTGGGTTGTAATGCGTCTCTGTAAATAAAAGTAGGGGGTAAATTTTTTTTTTTTTTTTTAAATTTCAACTTGATTATTGTTTCATACACAGACTATATAACAAGATAGTACCCAATTACTTTTTTAGATTTTTTGTGTGTTCAATTTGCAGCAGGAACAAGTCAATTTTTTTTTAATTTTGAACTGGAGCATTAACAAATTTTCATGTTGGGTTTCACAATAAAAGGATGGTGGCAATGCATTCTGATAAGCAATCCTAATTTTAATCTAACTTTGCCACTTAGATACATCAACGTTATCAAGTCTTCTAAAATAAATTGGGTTGATTAGAAACAAAAGTGAGAAAAATAAAGACAAACTGATAAGTTGGACAAAAAATAAGAGGACAAACTGATAATTTAGGCAAAGATTAAGTAAAACCCACCCAACAGTGATGTACCCCAATTGAACCCACAAAATGGGTCAACATACGTAAAAAAGGTCAAAAGATTTATTTATGAATGTTAAAAATATTAAATTTCACAAAACTAAATAGACTTTTCCAATAGGACTAGATCACAATTAATATGTCATATATATCTCCTATTTAGTTAAGAACTAAATTTGTTAGGTTTTGATAATTAATTTTGAGCATCTTTATTTAGTGATCATTAGATTGGGATCTAACGGTCTACATAAAAAGTACCCACTAGAGGTTACGGTGAACAGTTTCCATTATCGCACTACTATATATATATATATATATATATATGTTTACATACATACATGCATATATATGTACACGAACATACATATTTGCCATGTAAATACATCATACCTTCACAGGTTTGTAATGACACGATATGATTTCACTAGAATTGTTTTAAAATTTTGAGTAATTTGTTAAAAATATATAGTGGACTAGGAATAGCACTTGTGTATGCGTATAGCAGCTAATGAATAAAATACAACATCCTTTTTTTGATAACTAAAAGTCAAATCAATGGTGGACAAGAAGTCCAACTCAAAACAATGGGAAAAAAACAACAAAACCAAAAAAACCAAATTACAAGCCGCATGAGGCATTCTAGCTAGCTCTAATACAAAAGAGAGGGATGCCATCAAACTCCTTAGTCGTTGAAGTCCACAAAAAAATTAAGAAATGAAGTCTATCTCACAATCCCTCAACTTCTTCACATTTATTCTAAAAAATTCTCGCATTCCTGTCTTTCCAAATCACTCATAACGTAGCAAAGAAAGCATCATGCCAAAGAATCTTCCATTTCCTATATCTTCTCAAAATCTCTTTATTTAAACAAAGCATAGAATTTATATCCTTTGGTGCAGCCAAAGAAAAATTTACAAGGTCAAAAAGCTTATTCCAAATAACTCATGTCACAGGGCAATGCAAAAATAAGTGATCTATACTTTCATAATCACCTCTACACATAACCATTGTGGTTGAAGAAAAAAAATTTGTCTCATTTTTTGAAGGACCTCATTTATACTCACCTTCCTATGGGCACTAATCCATTCATAGAGTTGCACTTTCAAAGGCACTTTAGCCTTCTAAATCTTCAGTAATGGTTCAAAAGAAGGAAGTAAAGGATTATCGATTAAAGACTCAAAGAAAGATTTACAACAAAAAATACATGTTGGATCACCAATCCAATAAAATACACACTTAAAAAGTGAAGGGAATAAAACCTGTGGGCTTAGCAGGCAGAAATAAGCAACTGAGGAGTACATACTGACCATTCAAGTTTGCCACAAGTATAATATTGCAGTCCAAGCAAAGGATGGAAGCCTGGATATACTCCTGTAGAGAAGCAAAAAGGTCACATTCAGTATGAGTGCAGGGGTAATATTTGGATTACACAACTGTTAGAAACAATGAATATGAAGTCCTGGGGCACAAAAGCTGGGAAATAGTTGAGAAAGCAAGGTTGCCTACATCAAATAAGGGTGGGTAAGAAACATAGGTGAAGTGCAAAGGTTAGAGTTCACTACCTCCACATACCCAACTAGTTCTACTTTTCTTAAAATTCAACCTAGAAACTGTATCTTCCCTAGAAAACCCTCTGCCCCAAACTCCCTTCACTTGGTTGGGCAAGCTTCGATGCCCCTA